CTACAGGGCTGCTGCGGAGGAGGAGGGGAGGACAGCTGGCCGATGGAGACTACTCGGTGTGCTGTGTGCCTGTCATCAATAGTGATTTAATGTGTTTGCTCTGGCATTGGAGAACTCCGTGCAAAGGAATTGTGGGAATGCAGCGAAAGCCCAAGGCGAGCTTTTATTGCTGCCGCTTTTTCATGTATTGGTGATACGAACGGTAGCTTTTTAAGTATCCCTATAGAGAGAGGGGCGATTCCATTCCTAGGAGGTGGGAAAGTCATGTAAGTGCGAACGGTGTCAAGGGTTGGCGTAAAGACGTGCACACACATGTACCGCTCGCTCACGGTGCGGCTTGTGATGTTGCTTGTTCCAAATCTTGGTGAGATGCGTCATATGTGATGATATGCCCTTTTGATGCACCAACTTAGAAGCCACAGCGATATGTAGTGGCTGGCCCTAGAGCAGGACAACCGCCAGACCCGAAGAGCAACATTTTTATGAATCATCCCCGAGCGGCCGGTGTCAACACAAAATTTTGGAGAAGCTCCAAGAGTTTTCATTCCTCTCTTTTTTTTGTTTTCGCGCACTCGCGGGAGGGTTCGCACGTGATTGGACCAGATATGGGAGTAGACACCACCAAACGCAACGCCTGGTACAGTAGGCGTCCCCTTGTACAATCTACGGTGTCGTTTTCACCCGCCATGTATGTTATGACTCCAAGAAATACATACGCAGAGTGGCACGATGCGCTTCTTCTTTTTTGGTTGGCTCGTTCCTCGTTCGGCTCGTGACAAAATACGGCACGGTAGTGGTCTCTGTCTACGACCGCATAAACATGACCCGTCGCTCTACATGAAGCCGGTGAAACCAATGAGAGAAGCCTGCTGTTCGCCCTCGACGTGTTTCATCGCGGATTCAGAAGCATTCTCCTCTTGAAAACCAATCTTGCCCTTCGGAAGAAGCCCCACACACCTACCTGCACACCATGTGCTTCCAACTGGAGGCGTTCGACAGAAAGTACCAGGTGTGCCCGATCAAGACCGGCAAAATGACACAAATCGGCCCGATCCAGGCACCCTTCCTGCGGTAGTATCCTGAGGGACGGCTGGACCAGCGGGGAGAACGTCTCACGCGAAACACGAGCACGGCAATATTAACTCTCTGTGCCAGCGTTGCTGTCGTTCTTGGAGCGCCGTTTACAGCGTCCGTTTTTGCTGCCACCGTGCTGCTGCTACTGCCCAAACCCTCACTCCGCGCCAGCTTGAAGGAGCGCGAATGTCTCGTCCACGGTGAGCTTGACCTGAGTCTCGTCGGTGCAGAACTCGTGGTGGTATCCGCAGTCGCCCCTGTCCCCCGTGCTCCCGTTGCCGTCGCTGGACGCCCAGCCATCAAGGCACGTACACAGCCCCGTATCGAAATCTGGCGGGCCACATGGTGCATGGTGTGCGTGATAGGTGCACGAGAACAAGAAGTTCCATCACGTCATGAGAAAGAGTTTCCGGTTGAAGCATGTTGCTTGGGGGTGGCTTCTTCCGAAGGGCGAGATCGGTGTTAAGTCGGGTGATTTGCTAGGCACTAGGTTCAGGGCAGCAATACAAACTTCAGATATTCCGTTTGTGTCACTAAGAAAAAAATCATTGGGACCTCAAAAACAGGTAGGGGGGCGGGACCAGTCAGTCGTGTTCTTTTGGATCGACATGATGTTTCGCGTCGTGACATATAGTCTATATGCATACGTTCATTTACTGTCGAGAATGCGAAACAGCTACCCCTGTGTAACTCCCGAAGCTTACCGCAAACACCACGGCCGCCGCACTCAAAGTTTTCCTTGCTACCGGCTTCCGTGATATCAACCTCGAAGGTGGGAGATGTGTACAGGGAGGGCAAGCCTCCGAGCTCCGTCAAGAAGGTAACCTGAGGGAGATACGCGAGCGTGTTTGTGGGTCGCTCGGGGGAGGTGACGACGAGTGTCGTCTGGACCGAGCAATTGCACCAGTTTTCGACTCTACTATCGGTGCATTCTGCAGCGATCAGATCGGCCCTTGGCTCCTACTTCGCACGCCATACCCGTCCACACTGACAAGTTATTGGGGCCTTCGTTTTTGGCCCAGATGGTTTTGTTGCAACCGCCTGAATGCGTAAATAAATGCAATTAGCGCTGTGGGATCCACGAAAATATTCGTCCTCACTACACAGGTAGTCTTGGTTATTTTCTTCGCGGAATCTAATCTTTCTTAGCTGCGGGCCCGTACTGTACCGCATTTTCCTCACCTCTATTCCTTCTCCGTAGACCCACGAAGAATCGCAAGCGGACCCCCCTGACGTGAACCTGACAGCGACCGACCCAATCCTGCTCAATGGTCACCCATCAGGACCGATAAGGCGACGACGGGGATCCGTTCGTTTCGGCGGGAACCCTCTCGTTGAGTCCGAAAGAGTGGCGATGGATTGTGTAACCGAGACGTTTCCTGAACTAAACAGGATTCATTTAAAGCTGAAGATGTTTGCTCATCTAGATTACCGCATGCAGCTGTTGTGTCGACTTTAAGTCTGGTCGCATTGAGCAGAGAAGCTAGACTGAATCGTGAACTGCGCGCGATGAGTTTGGGGGCACCATCCTCATTCCGTTCCATTTACCTCAACAGGATCAAACAACAGACACGCGCTACTGAAAAGGATAGGGGGGGGGTCGGGAACCTTTCATCAGAACAAGCCATAGCCTAGCCGCCCAACAACAATTTGGTTATTGGAAAAAATGCATGTCAACGTCATCTGTCCTGTCTTGGAGGGAGAGCCTAAGAATGAGTCCAACCTGTGCATTTTCGGGGACAGGACACAACTGCCGAGAGAGCTTCACTCACGTCGGTAAGAGTTCGAATGCGGCGGTTACCTCCGCCGTCGTAGCGTCGAAAGCAATGGCCTGTCGTTAAAACACGGAGGGGCACAGCAACGTACAAGGGCCCATACAATGGGGGAGCCTGGTTAGTGCCGGCTGAATAGTGCCAATGCACGGTATATTGCCGGTGTTTTCGACGGGCACGCACTGAATTTCAACCCATTGTCAGCACTCTGGGCAAATACCGGCACTAAGCACGGACCCCCACTGTATACAGCAAACAACGGAACCAACAAGACGACGGCAGCACAACGGGGGTGTGGAGCACCAGGGGTCTGCGAAAAGCTAGAGATCGGCGTTGCGTGAGAGAGTAAATAGAATGAAACATGTTGCTCGTAATGGCAAGGTGAATGCGTGCAGGTGAATGGCAGCTGGCGGTGGGGCGAGGGGCAAAGCTGCTTCGAAAAACTAGAATACGCAGAGAATAGGAATTTTCCCGAACAAATGAAACGCTTAATGACGCTCCAACGCCATAACCAGATGTTCCTCATGTGACACCTTGCCCCCGGCAGCTTCCATGGCTAACGTGGCATCGCTCGTGCCCCTACAGGTACTAATCGTGTCCTCACCTCCGTTGTAGCATCGCGGAAGGTTATCGTGAACGAGCCGGAGCTTAGCGTACACGCCACCGTCTGCACCTCGAACTCCCCGGGAGTTGTTCGTGGATCATCCCCGGTCGGACATGTCCCTGTCAATGGAAACGAGGAATGCTCATGCGTTGACCAACGACTTCAGGCGAGGATTTCGAAGGCCGTGTCTTTCCCATAAACTTTTGTTTTTCGTCACAGGAAAAACGTCAGAGGAAAAATGTGTATACTTGCAAAGTGCTTACTGCGGAACTTATTGAAAGCCGCCGTAGGCGTCTTGCGCGCAGGTGCTACGCCTAACCCCATGTTTTCCTGGGGAAAACAATGCCCCCCCCCATGAGGTAGCCGGAACAAGCCTGGAGCAATAGAAACTAGCAACCAATGTCTACCATACCACCCCTGAGACGTACTCACTCAGGGTGCAGGCGTACCCGCCCCACCCCGGGAGCTTGGAGTTATCCGTGTACAACCCAGACACGAACGCCCGCGCCCCTACCCTCGGCCGGTACGCGCCCCCAAGGAACCCGTCCGTGTCCCCGTCCCCGCTCCTCCCGCCGCTGTCGCACAGGCACCCGTACATCATGTCGAAGTCCCAAGTCTCCGGGCTCGCGTAGACGCTCGTCCCGAAGGGTCGGACGAGGTCCGTGCTCCCGTACACAGTCGGGTCCGGCTCTCCGTTGTCCTCCCGCAGCTGGGCGAGGCGGAACATGGGCAGGCACCGCCCGTTGCCGTTGCAGTCTGCGTCGCACCCTAGCCGCCCGCAGGCGGCCCCCGTCCAGCCCTCCCGGCACACGCACTCCCCCGTGGCGTGGTTGCAGTTGCCCATCGCTCCGCACTCGGCACCGTAGGAGTGGGCGGCGTTGTCCGCGCGAGCCTCATCGAACCACGCCTTGATGAGAAAGTGTTCGCGGTAGAAGAATAAGAATATATACTTTTGGGGTAGGTGTTTGTCTCGATGTTTAGCAAGCGCGGTACGTCTATGTGGTGGTTTTGACGATGCGTGGGTAAACGGGGGAAGGCAGTCGTGTGATACTTGTGGTGTGGAATTGTCCTGAAGTTTTTTTCACCCGAGGATGAGTGGTCAAGGTATGTCTGGGATGTATCGCGCCATCACCTACTTGTAAACTTGGTAGGTAAGAAATTAGGATCAAGAAAGTGAATCGTCTACAGTAGCACTTGACGAAACCAACAGGTCTTGTTTTTCACAACTTCAACTTCTGCTTCGAACTTTCATGTACTGGTAAGTGCCGGGATACCCGCAGAGGACATAACAAACTAGCCTCGGGCACAACAGATACAATAGGACATTCTTGGCTGGTGGCGTGTTGAGGGTGCAGCTTTTATAGAAGAGTCACCACCTTTCCCGTCGGGCATTTCCGTATGCTGCAATCGCCACCGTAAAAGTCTGGATGGCAGATGCAGCCCCCCGTAGCGTTGTTGCATGCTCCTTTTCCCGCACACGTCACCTGCAGAAGCCGAGAAGAGGAAGTCGGTTTTTCAGAGCCCTCGGGAGAGGATACGTTGGGCCACAGTGGCGTTTGCAAGTGCTTTCGAGTGTAACACTCATCATGTCGCCGAAAGTCGATTGCTATTGCAACTTGAGTTGTAGAAAATCCTCTCCACCCTCAAGCGTCCCCTTGCCGCATCACACATCGTATGTTGCGTGAGATTTCACACCCCCTGGACCGAATTTCAGAAGCTCTAGTACTCTGCAGGTGTTGGGACCGAACGCCACACGGGGGATTGGAACCGCCCTTTCGACAGCTTTCCGAATGCGTATCGTTTGAGGGTGGCATCCTCGCCGTTGTGGAGTAATCGCCCCTGTCTGGGGGAGGTGCTATCTTTCGTAATTCAACCTAGGGTACCTGCGTAACTTCCGGACGACGACGAGAGACTACTACCGCTCCCCTCAGAGTTGTGTACCGTCGCCTTCCCGACAACGACGAGCGACCACCATCGCTCCCCCTCAGTGTCACCACCACCGCCGCGAAATTTCGTCGCGCACCTCGTCGAAGGATTCGTACGTCGGCATGGTTTCGTCGTCGAAAACCACCGCCACGGGGCACGACTGCGTCGTGTTCGTGGACGCCTCCACCCGCTGGTACCCGCAGTCCGGGCGCCCGCCGGGCCCCCCGTAGCCGTCGCTGCTTTCCCACCAGTACCAGTCCAGCGGAAAGTTGGTCGTGTTGCGGTCGCACAGGCAGGCGCCCGTGGAGTGGTCGCACACCCCGTGGTTGGCGCAGAACTCGTTCTCCTTGTCGCCCTTGCCGTCGGAGAACGTCACGGCTACGGGCAGCCCGTCTGCGTCTCGGACGGACCCGATGAACGTGAGGCTCGGCAGGTTCCCGTACGCGCAGCGGGCCTCGATGGTGGTGGTCACCTCGCTCCCGGAGTCGCAGAGGGACGTGCCGCCTTCCATGGAGACGTTCACCGAGAATATATCTCCGTAGACAGACGCGGAGCCGAGCGTGTCCAGGCTAACGAGGGCTTCTTGGACGTCGGACTCGTCCGCGTCGTGGGAGATCAGGGACGTCGTCTCGTCATCGTAGATCACGTAGATCCCGCCGGTGCACGACGGGCAGGCCGGGCAGACGACTTCCGAAACCGTCGCAAGGGCGAGGCTGGCGTCTCCCCCGGCCAGGGTAAGGCTGTCCGTGTTGCTAGAGCTACGGGGCGGGGGGGGGGGGGGG